GATATTTTGTTTTGTTTTTGAAGCATCATGTGGGGTGGAGGGGGACGGTGCAATTTAATACACCCTGTACCTTCTTCGGAAAGGTCTTCCAAGAGCCTTAGGTCCTCAACAGGAATGAACAGATGCTTGGACCGGGAGCCCAGGTGGCGGAAACTAACTGTGCTGTTTGTTTGTTAGCACTCCATTAAGAGTTACAGGAGAGAAACACCTGAAAGAAAATAGCACCAGTGAAGAGAGCCAAGATGGGAAGAGGGCCCCCCCATTGAGTGTACGTATGGCTCTCCTGTGGTTGGCCCTTGCAAATCCACCTAGAGACCACCGGTGCCTCATCCACCTGAGAAGGAAAGAATAAAACGGCCTGTCAACACACCCCCATCGGTTTCGACTGCTCTTATAAATGGTGATCTTTAGACAGAGCTTTGGGTTTCTGGCTCAAGTTGGTTTATGGCCATACACTTCCATACAGTTCACTTGATAAGCATTTTAGAATTAAATGTTGCTAGCTAGTTTTCTGTGTGACAGATGCAAAACATTTCTTAATAACTCCTTTTGTTTAGTAGTGCTTCAGTACTTTAAAGCCATTTTTTCACATGTGACTTTCCCTGAACAGCAAGAAACAGGATTCATTACTACTATGGTATTAGATAGCTTCTTCAGCTGCTGTGTTTAAGATGGATTCTGTATGGTATTTAAAGCTGTACCTTAAAAAAAAACAAACAACTCCCTGCCATCCCGGTTCATAGCAACTCTACCAGACAGGGTAAAACTGCCCGTGTAGGTTTCCACAACTATATAGCTCTTTAACAGAGTAGAAAGCTTCTCTTTCTCCTGTACTTCAATAGTTTAGAAGAAATTCACACTTTAAAAATTGCTTGAGATTTACTTGATGTTAGACATGAAATTTGATAGTCAAAGTGTGTATGTTTTTATTTATTTATTTTTTTTGCTTTAATGCTTTTTCTTTTTTTTTTAACATTTTATTAGGGGCTCATACAACTGTTATCCCAATCCATACACACATCAATTGTGTAAAGCGCATTTGTACATCGTTTCTCAAAA